TGAAAGTTGGGGTGTTGTACCAGTGGAGTTAATACCTGTATACAATGATGCACGCCGTGAAACTGCGGACGCTGTCACGTGTTATGAATAAAAAACAGTATGGTTCTTTGCATTTAATTCAGTGTGGTCTATTATTCGTACGTTAGATACAATCTACATGTTCCAACCCAGTGATGAAAAAATGTGAATAGGTTTTAGGCGTCAGTTTTCTGTTATACTATCTTCTAATGTCAGGTAGAATTCCGTTTTAATCACAAGTCAACTAAATTTGTGTAATGTGCGTCGTCTCATTTGTCTATCTCACAACGCAGGGTGTCACGCATCGCCACTTGAGCGATCATCTGAGTGAATTGGTCGAGACCACATTGAATGATCTGGAACATTCCAAGTGCATCTCCATTGAGGACGGTATGGATTTGTGCCCATTAAATTTGGGTATGATTTCGGCTTATTATTACATTCAATACAACACAATCGGTAAGTGCAGCTTCAGCAGGATAAAATCTGACACTTGTCACTATACCACCACATAATCGATAGTTTTATGATTTGTTTCTATAACATAACCCTTTAACATATACCCAACGGTTTTTGAAGATGTTCCACAAATCTTGGTTTACGAATTTTCATGACCGCCGTACGAAGACACAACGGAGTGAACAGTACTATTCCGACTAGGTACAAGGAAATTTCAGGTGGTTGATGCTGATAATTATCTGGAAATCTTCAAGGCGTTACTCCAGTTACTTGAGCCGGATCGTTCAGTATATTTCAAGTTCGAATCCAATGGTTGTTACCCAGCTTTCGGGGTAGGCAACCTACCTGTCGTTTAGGTGAATACCACACTGAGCCTGTCGAAGTAGTGTGTGGTTCGCTACTTTGTTTCCAGTTTACATGGACGCGTGAGGGTTCTTGTGACTATTGGGTCCGTCTTTTCTGTTGGGTTTTACAATAGAGTGTATAATACAAACGTACAGTCTCAATCGCTTTTGAATCTATACGATGAGCCTCCAATAAAGTAGGCAAATCCACCCACGCACTATCTAAGGGCCATAATGAACCCGAATCAACTATAAGTTTTCCTTTGGAATTATTGCTCTATCCGGTGCGATGCGTTTCTCCTTATGCAAAGCCCAATTCAATAACTGACAGTAGATGTCCCGGTGTTTAACTTTTACTAGCCACGTCAATCACTCTGCCGAAGCTAACCAACACTCTGAATGGGGGCAATTCGTTAATGGCACATTACAGATTCACGTTCATCGGGTCATTTCGTAAGAATTTAACTGGTAGGGCAACCGTCCGGATAACAGATAGATTATCAGCTGAACAACCTGACCTTGCAGACTTGTGGAATTCTCTTTCTGGTTGGAAGTTCAACTATAGCAGTTTCTTCGCTCAAAATATGAATAGTCCTTAAGTTTGGTCCAACAAAACGGAGACTATGGCTGATGTTTCCGGGGGCACACGACTGTGTTGCTCGTTATTTGAGGACAAAGAGGAAAATGATCAATAAACGGCGGGGATAGTCTGTTGCACGTCGGACACCGTAGCACACCTTTTATTTTTGGAATGTTTCGTATCCTCAGATAATATGATCGCATCTTTTCCCTGTTCAACGGTAATCTTGATTGAGGCCGGTAATAGAGATCTCACCTGATTCGTCAGTGACAGAGATAGAAAAGAGTCGCTCTCTGGTGAGGTGTGCAGTTGTCTGCCGGCGAATTAACGCGATTGGTTGGAGGCGTTCACATTGAGCTGGATAAAAATAGCCTTTCACAAACCATTTATTAAGTAATGCCAACGGGCAACTCATTTATGTCTGGCTGTCTAACAGGCAATTCCTTCGTCGATCTCCATGAATTTGTTGAAATGGTCGTCCATAAGTTGATCTCACATTTCCCTTCAACTACGTAACAGTTCCGTGACAAATATTTTACCGTAGCAACTGGAAGTGATTTTCACCTTGTCAGCAACAATAAATAGACTTAAAATGAGCCTTCGATTTAGTTGACTGTCAAGCTCTTCTGGGGTCGCTGCTCCGCAAAAGAATGCCGCGGAAGTATGTAAACCTGTTGCGGTCGCTGTACCTGCATACTTCTGGTAGCGTAAGGGTCTACGGTGGAGTAAGTAAATCATTCGAACCCAGGAGCGGTGTCCGTCAAGGGTGCCCTATTTCGCCATTCCTGATCAACCTCGTCCTAGACGAAGTACTGGAGAACGCACTTAGTGGTCTCCAAAACGTAGGTTTTGGATGGGCAGCTGGATAAAAGCTGTGCGTTTTAGAGTACGCTGATGACATCCTATGTCTGTTCGAATCTATGGAGGACGTGCAAATCGCTTTTGACAGACTAGCAAGTTCTGTGAAATGGAGGTTAAACAGTTACAATAGATAAAAGTAGATAGCAGGAATAACAAAAAAGAATTTCGATTCGCCCTACAGTTTTTGATATTTTTTGTATGTTAGGTTACCCTTTTTTTACGGGGTAAGACATTTTAACAGGCATATCTCATCGTCTCTAACTAACGACAATCTTCATCCCTCGGGCCCTAACTTGGGCGTCGGGTTGCGCCAAGCTGGCTTCATACCTCTTAATCATGTCGTGCCATGGTCTGACACCCTCGATATTTCTTCCAGCCTTGCCCAGCATGTGCGAAAAATGCACGGGAAGGTAGATGATGGGCAGGGATATGCAAAACGTGGCCAAGCCATCGGTAGCGGTGTAGAGCGATTACTTCTGTTAGAGAATAACTATCCACACCCAGCACACGACGTCGAACCTCGTCATCGCTCACCCGATGTTCCCACCAGACACAAGCAATGCTTCGGAGACATCGGCAGTCGAATAAAACACGTCGATTAGCATCTTCCGCTCGAAGAGGCCAGGTCTCGCAGTTGTGAAGTAGAACTATAGGAACCGCGGCGATGTACATCGTTCCCTTGAGGAACAGTCGTATGTCATGACGACGCCACATGTGTCGCAAGCTGCTCTAGCTTTCGCAGTGATCTCCTCCCCAACACCGCCACCAGCTGCAATGAAGGTGGTAAATCGTTTTCTTTAACTAATTTCCAGCTTTCATTATATTTCCTAATTAATTTGGTCGCGTCAGCTCTGTTCAGTGATTGAAAGCGTTCTTGTTCATTGTCATCATCAGACCGACTCTCGCTGCATTGCCGTTTGCACTCCCTTTATCAGTATCGGCTTGTTAATTCGCTCTTCCTGTCGGTGTATTGACCTGTACCATCGCTGACATCACAGTACACGAATTCGGCGCGTGGTTCTATGACCTACCTTGGAGGGCATTCAAAAAACTTGCTTCTGAAGTGTTGGGGTGTTAGCGTTTGTTGCCTTGAACTCGAGCGTTCCAACATGAAACATGTGCAGTTCCGAGGCCTACTCAGATTGTGTTTGGATGTTGGTTACAAAAGACAAGGTTTTTCACTATCAGGTGTCCTACATAAACATCGTGTTACTGAATTTATCTAGGGCGAGTCATTCCTCAGGTTGAATTATCTTTCTTCACGTGCCTGAAATGGTTGCCGTTCTCCGATCATTTATAATACTCTCTATCCTTGTTGCATTATGAAAAATGGTTTGTATTCACTTCGATCTAACTAATTCTAAATGAAAGAAACATCACTGTTCTCAGTCCAGAAGACGCCAGTGTTGGTCGACGACGGTTTGTCAAGCTCCAAACAGAATCGAGGACGAATAACGTGATGCCGGATTATACCTTGATTGTGTGAATGTGTGATTGAAGTCAGCCTAAGTCGTTTCAACGCATGCAGGTGATAGCAGACGAAGTATTTTTTATTCAGTGAAGGAACATATACAAAACGAACGAACACTCGTACGCGCGAACTTGACCCTGCCCGACACGTGCTCCTGACTTGACCCCTACTTGAAGCTCAGCACATCACATCCGGAATCTAACGAGACCAACAAAGTTCAACCGAACGTTTTTGATTTACAGCTGATGTAAATCCCACTTCATCAAATCGAACTGTGCGACAGTATAGACTTTGGATTTCCTCCACTCCGATTTAGTTCAATACCGATGCACTATATCTCGGTAAATTGATCGGATGCCTCTTGTAACTATATTTATTATCTTAATTTTCGTTTACATCAAAGCTTTCCATTATTTTGAACAATTCTATCTTTCTTCCGCCACCCAAATCAGAATTGTTCAGTCTGTCGTTGACCGGAAAGATGAAAATACGCGGTCTGTTAGATGTGATCAGCAATGCAGCAGAATTTGACGGTCTCCTCCCGGTACGACATCACGAAGATGCGCTTCTACGCCAGTTGNCCGCCAAAGTCCCACAAAAATTAGCTCCCAAAGCCAAATTCTCCAGTCCTCACGTGAAAGCAAATCTCCTGTTACAGGCACATCTGTCCCGACTACAGCTACCCACCGAGATGCAGACAGATACCGACAGGTTATTAGGCTGCACGGTTCGCCTCATTCAGGTCAGTGCTGATTTACACGTTTGTTGGCTTTCTCCCGTTTTTACTCATATATTGATTCAGGTGAGTAGATAGGGTAGGTTAGGTGTGAGCAAGGCCATGGATTCAGTACCGCAAGCAAAAAAGTATGCGGGGAGTAGGGCATAAATCCACGTTAGTTAGGGCTTTCTTATATTGCCAACTGTCCTAAACCAGGATTGATTGAACTTTGACAGTCCAACACAAACAGTTACCATAGTTTGTGTTTTCTTTTTTCCCTTGAGATGACGGGACAGGCCAGATTTTCATCTAGCCAGCATCTGGAAGAACTTGGTTCGTTAATTGGTGTTAACCGAGAGTGGAAATGTGTATGAAGTCCCTAGTTCAGAACTGGGAAGTTACCAACACTACTAAATAGAAACAACAAAACAAACGAAACTCAACAGCATAATGTGATTTGTTATTCATCTTATACCGTATACATTTATCATATTTTAGGGTCTTCTGTCTGTTTATTCCTTAGATAGGTATCGGGGTAAGGGTTATTTACCGTTAGCTTTTTACAACATTTTCATCTCGTGTTGTAACGCACGCAAGCAAAGGAACACGCGGCAGGACAGACCACGAACAGAAACCGGAACGACCTATTGACCGAATGATAACAGCACGAACACGTAAGGAGCGCGATTCTCAAGGCAGTTCCCAAGAAAACCGGAAGAGCACCCCGCGAGAGTGGTAGAGTTACGGAACCCATCCAGAAAGAAGACGGAAGACAGACCTTCAGGCGATGTCTGTGGACACCTCGTCTGCTTATATGCAGTTTGGGGTCGAGCCAGCAGTTACCTTGAAAATCAACTCGAAAGTCCGTGATTCTGTAAAAATGCACCAATCTGTTACAATAATAATCGATGATGTGTTTATGTTTCGAAGAATTGAAAATTTAGATTTTATAAAATTGGTTGCAAAATAGGAAAAAATCAAAAGTAATCACTGCCATGTTGGATGGTCTTTTTCCTATCACCTTGGTATGATATCGTGACATGGTTCGAATGAAATCTGCCAGACTGCATCCGTCGGCCCCCGAGCCCCATGTGATCGTCAGGGAAACCCGACAGGAATCAGTGCTTCAGAGCTTCTTCACACTTCTACTCCTAGATGCGTACTGGAACACCGCGACGTTTGTTCTAGACTTTCTTAGAAGTCACACACAGCAGAAAGTGTTAAGCGGGCATACGTTGTACGTTTTAGGTGATGAAGTATGATCTTGTCGATTGCACGACGGCTATCCGTACCCAATTACCATCGTATTTCGAGATTGTTCACCGTTTGTTGTCACCGGTCTCCTCGAAAACGACAATCATAAAATACTGAAAGCTGTCAGCCGTCCTCAGCGTGGAGGCTTTAGTTTTCAGTCGTTGGG